CTATGAATGTTTTACTTACAAAGTCACCCAATCTATTTAATTAATTTTTTTCATTAAACTTACAAACATGAAAATTTTATTTCTTACTAAAATTTTAAAAAATAAAAAGATATTCATTTAAATCATTTAATAACTCGATCCGCTACAAATATAATATATTACCTTTTATTTTACCCCTTTTCTCCAATTGTGTGTGAATACAGCGATCTCCATGCATTATTCATAAAATATAGAAATTACAAAATTACTTTTTTAGTAAATTCAAATTTTTAGTAACAATGATACATAATGAAGGAACAAAAAGAAGTGATTAAAAAAAACTGACTTGAATTTGTTAATTATGTTTCTCCTACCGTTAAGTAAATTAAGATTTGGTCTTTATATGTTTTTTTTTTGTAAAATGCTCTTTACATGTTGTTGATTTTAGAGTGCTATAGTTAAATTAATTAATTGGTTTAAATGAATATCCTTTTATTTTTTTTAAAAAATGGTTAGAAATAAAAAATTCATGTTAGTAAATTCAGTTGAAAAAAATAATGAAATCATTAAAATAATATATTTCTAACGGATCGGGTTATTAAATGGTTTAAATAGTTAGAAATAAAAATTTCATGTTGGTAAGTTTTAATGAAAAAAATCAATTAAATAGATTGAATGACTTTGTAAGTGAAACACTCATAGTTAAGTGATTTTTGAGTTAAAAATCAAAGTTGAGTGACTTTCTGAGAAAAGAACTCATAGTTGAGTGACTTTTTGAGAAAAAAACTCATAGTTGAGTGACTTTGAAATTAAAAACCAAAGTTGACTGACTTTTTGAGAAAATAATGCATAGTTGAATGACCATATGAGATATTAACTCCATTTATTGAGTAAGGGTAAAAGTGAAAACTAGTAGTTAATTATATCTTGGTTTTCTATAATGACAACTATTTTTGACCATTTATTTTTAGTAAGGACGGCTAGTAAAATTGACTGGAAAGTGTACCTTACATTGCTATTTTTATTTTCTATAATGTTGGCTTGAGATGAATGTAAATATGGAACATGGCCTGTGAGGATTCATATAGCCGACCTCAACTTTTTTGTGACTGAAGAATAGTTATTGTTATCGAAATGATTTTTCACTAAAATCTTGAAGCAGAGGATGTGTTTGTTCTCATACCTTCAAAAGGAAAATATTTTTCTGGTTGCTGAAAAATGGTGACCATAGAGTTCATACATGCAGCACTGAAAGTGTGCAGGACAATGCTGGGAATCCTCAGCTGAGTGGCTACATCATCGACAAAAAACATGTTGTTGTCATAAATAATACAGGTGAGCTGATCACCTTGCACATCCTGTTCCTGTTCCTGTTCCTGTTCCTGTTCCATCATCCTAACGAGGTAATTTCTCAAGGGCGCCTTACAGCTCTCGTTCATACGATATATACTCTTTACACTCGGCAATGACATGTCAATTCCCTTTAATCCGTCATCCATAGAATGGAAGATGAATTCAGGATGATTGGAATAATTAGGAGTATTGTGTTGAGTATGTGCAACTATAACAGAAAAGCCTTGTGAACGAAGGATACTTCCAAGCTGCAGCATTGGTGTTAAATGCCCCTGGAGTAGGAATGGCACTAGTACTACACTCTGTTTCCTTTCTACTTTCATCTTTGCTTTCTTGGAATTTCTTTTCAATTCAAGAGTTTAGTAGTAGTAGTAGTATAACTCTCAAACTTAAAAAGTATTTGGGTTAACGTGAACCAATAGCTTTTTCTCTCATTATGTATTTGTAGTGTCCTAAGAAATTTTCCTAAAAATCTATGCGTGAATTTATGATCAAAATAAAATTTATTGACTTTCGAAATTCAAATTTTGAATCCGTCTTTGCCTGGTACTTGGTATTGAATGAGTGGTGATAAAATTGAAACTACTCACCATTTCCAATCACAAAAAGGGAGTAACAAGAGCCTCATACTGTTTGTCTCTGATATGCATGTCTTTTAGTCCAATAATTCAGTATTCATGGACCAGACAATAACATCCAGAAAAGCTGATGCGCAATGTTTTCAACATGTTTTGTTTTTTTAATCATAGTAATTCAGTTAGTTGATTATTTGAATTTTTACCTCGTTGGTGAGGGTTCAATTTCTCACCTTGTAATTTCTTTTTATTTATTATAGGGTAAGGGGTCAAAATTACCCCTCAACTTTGTTTTATTGGTTGACTTTACCCTTACCATTAAAAGCAAGTTATTTTTACCCCTGGCGTCAATAAACTTAACAAATATATCCCTCCTTGGACGGAAACCCCCAAATCAATTGAAATTACCCGATTTTAATTGAAATTATTATATTCCTTTTTTAACCCGAACCAGAACCCGCCCAGAATTTTAAGGGTTGTGCTCAAGATAATTTGAATTGGGTTCAATCTCAACCCATTCAAGCCTAACCCATTTTAAGAGAATCTCAATTGAGCCCAATTCAATCTCCAATTTCAACCCGTTTTAAAACTTTTTACTAAGATATGTTACTATATTAAAGGTATGAATTATTATCTATTTAACATATTTTAGGATTTATCTATTCATTTGTAACTTTTTTAAAAAAAATCTTGAGCTGAAATTCGAATTGTGATTATAAAAGTTAAATATCACTATGTTAAAATTACTAAGATTAATCGGGTCAAATTGGACGGGTCAAGACCCAACCCGTTTTTTAGCCCATTTAAACCCAACCCATTTGAGCCCAAAGTAAATTTGGGCGGGTCAAGACCCAACCCAATTTCTATTTCAACCCATTTTAATATCTTCAATTTCAATCCAACCCGCCCATTTGACACCCCTACTTATAAGCATAAGCTATGCATAGCCAAAACGGCCATACTATATTAATTATTCAATTTTTTTTTAAAAATCAGAATATTAGTTAGTGCTAATAAATAAAGCCATCAGCCAAGAAATTAATTGACTAGAAATTAAGTTGAAACAATCAAGTTTAAAATTTGAAAAATTGTTGGAATGCAAAGAATTGTTGAGATTGTAATAGTCTGCTAATATTTTTACTTCAATTGTTGCTTGCAAGACCATAAAGGTAACGATTGCATGCAAAAATATGGAAAAAAAGAGGAGAAAAAGATGAAGACGATCACTCAGAATGATAAGCGCTCAAGGTGCTTGACAAAAAGACCAAAGAAAAAAAAAAAACACCAAAAAGAGCACTTGTGCTCCTAATTGGATATGGAAACAGAGAGAAAAAATATCTAACAAATGGATAAAGCCATGGAGAAGATGGTGTAGTGGGTTAAAAGATTGATTCCAAGATTGCCAAATTGATTGCAGGACAACCATAGCTCTGGATACTCGAGCTCAAGCACCCTCCCCTACCGCTTTTCAGGTACAAAAGTCCTCCCTTATGGCTGCCTTCTAGACTTAAAATTTTTAATCACATTTGCAGTTACTTGTTAATGTATTAAAGAATAGACACATTATTTAACCGTGATAAGAGCTTATGCCTTTTGGTGTTTTGATGATCTCCTCACAAGTGCAGGGACCTGGTCCTCTGCAGAGTATGAATACTCGTCCAGCTGTTAAAGTGCGGTACAGCTGTAAAAGTTGTCTGCGTCAGAAAGTTGATAAAGCTGCAGAGTACTTCACCAATCAGAAGC